CCTGCGTCGTCAGCCTCCATCACTTGAATGTCGTTATAATTTCCTATCTACCGAAAAATGGCACATGCATATCCCGGAATCCTCCTGTCCGGCCCAGCTAGTATCACCACCTACGCCTAGTGTGTGGACCGCACCTACGTGTGCTTCTCTATGTCCAACCCATGAGGAGAATCAGGTGAGCAGTATCTTCTTCGAAGCTTGAAGACTTTCAGGTTTTGCTGAAATCTCTGATCTTGCTCTTGAACACTTGCTTGCTCTATGTGATGTTTGCTTCGGATCAGCCCATGCTCTCTGAGGTGATTAAGAAATCAGGGGGAGAAAATGGAAGTTGGGGTTAGATACGGGGGAGGTAACATGTCATTCACCAACAAGCAGGCTACTATGCATGTATCTCCATATCGATAGTCCTGTCCCAATAGTCCCCTCCCTATTCCCACCACAGAGCGTGTACGGGCATATCAGTGTGTCTCGCTGGATTACCTCAGAGATACCGTGCTCGCGTGGTCGCTGCCGCCTGTGAGTTCTCCTCCCTGGAGTTATCCGTCGTCTTCACCGTGTGGCCTCTCGAGCTGACTGCACGACCTTTTCTCCCCCTTCACTCTGGTGGGGGGGAAAAACGCCCTCACTGGCTGATGCAGTTGTTTTTTGATGAAGTTTAACTCAGTCATCCGCTAACTTGGTGTCTTCTGGCCACTGCCCGCTACCATCTGACCCGCCCTTCTGGCAGCTGTGCGTCACGAGCACTAATAAACCCTGTCATCAACACCTTCTCGACCGGACCTGCCACGTGACTGCACATGGCTGCTCGTCAGATCCCGAAAGAACCCTGTCATCGCCCCCTTCCCGCCCAGGCCACTCCTCCCTCTGGCCCCTCGGCTCGACTCCCGCCTTTTTTCGTAAGTTTCTTTTCCACGATGTTTTCCCTAGTGAGAAATAGCGCTGCGGAACAGCGCTGCGCTAATTCGCAGCGCTACCGGCCCTTCTCCTCCGCCCCCCATCTTTTCGTTCCAGTTTTAACGGATGTCCCGAAGGACCGATTGTTTTTTCAGCGGGCGAGGCCCGAAACGATTTTGAATTTCATTTTGGGGGGGGGCCGCGTTTTCTAGCTTCGGCGGGCCGTTTGATTCTCATTGTTGCAGCCGCCTCCAATCCACTTCGGGAAGCAGCGCCGTCAGTCGCCCGCTACGAGCAGCGCCGGCCCCCTCACCGAGGCGGAGCTCCGGAGCGACCATCGCCCGGCTGCTCCTCACTGTTGCAGCCGCCTCCAATCCACTTCGGGAAGCAGCGTTGTCAGTCGCCCTCTACGAGCAGCGCCGACCTCCCTCGGCGTTTGCACCGTTACCGAGGCGGAGCTCCGGAGCGACCATCGCCGACTTCAACCTTCCTCCAAGGTGAGTCCTCACCAGCCCTCCTGCCCTCCCTCGAACTCACCTGGTCCTCCTCCTCGTCCTCTCCTCCTCCTTGTCATCTCTCCTCCTCCTCGTCACCGTGTCGTCTTTTCGTTCTTTTCCCATAACTCGTCACATCCTCCATCTCTCCTCCTCCATCTCTCCTCCTCCATCTCTCCTCCTCCTCGTCACTTCCTTCTCCACGTCACCTCCTTCTACATCTTTCAACATCCACGCCTCCTGCTGCATCTCCTCCTCCTCTCTCGTCACTTCCTCCACGTCACCTTCCTCCTCCTCTCCACCTCGTCGTTCTCCTCCCCCATCCCTCCTCGTCGAGGTCTTGTCACCGTTTCTAAAGTAAGCTTCGAATAGCATTGGTATCTCCTCCTCTTCCCTTCCTCGTCCATCTTTCCTCCTCCATATCTGGTTGTCCTCCTCCTCCATCCCTCGTCGCATCATTCTTCTCTATCTCTCCTCCTCCTCCATCTTGTCGTCCTCCTCTTCCATATCTTGTCATCCTCCTCCGGCTCTTCCCTCCTCATCACGGCCACGTCACCTTTATCTTTTTTTTTCCCCTGAAATCTCAAATGGCGGGGTCCTCGTCGTCGTCATTATCCTCCTCATCACCTCCTCCTCGTAACCTGGCTCGCCTCCTCTTCATCACCACCTCGTCACCGCCTTGTCAATTTTTTTATTTTTTATTTTTTATTGAAGGGAATCTTTGAAGTTCGAACTTCGGAAGCGATCCATATCATCTACTCGTCGTTACCTCCTCCTCGTGACCTCCTGCCCCTCTGTCTCCTCCGCGGGACCTCCTCCCCCTCTGTCCTCCTCGTGACCTCCTGCCCCTCTATGTCCTCCTCGTGACCTCCTCCCCCTCGTGACCCCGTTCCCCTCCTCCGTCAATCCTTCTCACACCTTGTCAGCTCTTCTTTTTATATTTATTTCTTAAGCGGAAACTGTGAAGTTGGAACACTATTGGTATCTCTTCCTCGCCCTTGTCTCGTCCGCCCCCTCCATCCCCTCCTCCCTCTTCATCCATATCATCTACTCGTCGTCACCTCCTCCTCCTCCTCCTCCTCCATGTCTCCTCCTCGTGACCTCCTCCCCCTCTGTCTGCTCCCCTTGACCTCCTCCCCCTCTATCTTTCCTCCTCGTTACCTCCCCTTCTTATGTCTCCTCCTCGTGAACCCTTTCCCCTCCGTCTGTCCTCCTTATCACACCTTGTCGCCTCTTCTTTTTTCAATTTTTAAGGGGAAACTTTGAAGTTGGAACACTGTTGGTATTTACTACCCCTCCATCCCATCCTCCCCCTCCACATCTCGTCACCTCGTCTGTTTTATTTTTTATTATTCAGCCGAAACTTGGAAGTTGGAACACTGTCGGTGTCTCCTCCCCCCCCCTTGTCTCGCCGTCCTTCTCCTCTTCGTCCTTCCTTCTCCTCATCCTTCACCTCCTCATTGTCATCACCTCCCCCTCTTCCATCTCTCCTCGTCATTGTCACGGTTTTTGTATTTCCGATGGAAAGTTCAAATGACGACCTCAACACAAAGTTTGGAGTTGGAAGGCTGACGTTGTCTTCTTCTCGCCTCCTCGTCACGTCCTCCATCTCTTGTCCTCGTCACTGCCAACTATTCTCGGTCGCTCCTCCTCCATCTCTCCTCCTCGTCGCGCACACTTCCTCCTCCTCCTCCTCTCATCAATTGCCCGTCATAGCAAATGGCAATTATTTTGTCTCGAAAAGGCAAATAGTCGCTTTTTTCCTCTCCCTTTTTGTTGTACTTTCATGCGGTGTTGGGGGCGTCCAGGGGGGCGGGAGGGGTGGAAAGGGGGTGTTCTCCAGAGAGGATGTTGGATGAGGCCGATTTCCTGGCTTGCTCAACGGTTTTCCCTGTGTACAGGTCAATGACAAGTAGCAAGCACACTTCCGCTATGATCAAGCCGCATTGCCACGAAGGCGGGGTTGCAGGGAAAGATCCATCCAAGGATGGCATATGGTGGATCTGGAAGCACTGCAGGGTCCATACCATTCCCGCCCCTCAGTGCTATTGAAATTAATATAAACAAGTTGACCCGCCGCGGCTCCGCCCGCGGCGAGAAGGGAGGAGCCGCGGCGAGAAGGGAGGAGCCGCGGCGAGAAGAGCAGAGACTGTGAGAAGGGAGGACAGGTTGCCCGCCCGTGGCGAGAAGGGAGGAGCCGCGGCGAGAAGAGCAGAGACTGTGAGAAGGGAGGACAGGTTGCCCTCTCCTCTTTTCTCTGCCGTCGTTGCTGTTCCTTCTATTGCTTCTCCCCTATCCCGAACTCTTTCTCCATAGATCTCTCTTCGCTCCTCCTCCTCTCCGTCGGATGCCACGCGGCAAAAAACAAAACAAAACAAAACAAACCCTCCCGTATCTCGACTCCCATCCCGACCTCTCTCCCTTCCATCGCCTCTCCCTCTCCCGTATCCCAACCCCCATCGCATCTCTCTCGGCTCCCCTTCTTTCCCGCCCCCCTCCTCTATCCTCGCATGGTTTCTCCCTCCTCCCCTTCCGTCGCCGACCTCCCCTATCCCTCCTTCCCCCTTGTCTTTCCCGACTTCCATACCAACCTCTCCCCCTTCCCATCCATCGCCTCCGACCTCCCCTATCTCTCCTTCCCCCTTCTCTATCCCGATTCCCATCCTGACCTTTCCGCCCTCCTCTTTCTTTGCGCTAGATCCCTTCTCCCTCCTCTGTCCTGACTGCCATCCCAATGTCTCCCGCCCCTATCCCGACCTCTCCCTCCATAGATCCCTCCTCCCTCCTTCTCCTTTGGGTGCCACGTGGCACACTGGTGTGCGCTGCAAAAAAAAAGAAAAAAAGAAAAAAAGAAAAAAAAGAAAAAACCCTCCTCGTTCTCGATTCCCATCCCGACCTCTCCCCGTCCCCATCCCGACCTCTCCCCGTCCCCATCCCGACCCCTCCTCCCAACCTCTCCCCTCTTCCCTTCTTTCGCCTACGTTCCCCTATCCCGACCTCTTCCTTCATAGATCCCTCCTCCCTCCTCGGGTGCCACGTGGCCTTTTCGTCGTTCCCTCTCCATTATCCCGACTTCCATCCCAACCTCTTCCGCCTTTCCTTCTTTCCTGCCCTCCTCCTCTATCCCTCCTCCGATGCCAACGTCTCCCTCCCTAGATCCCTCCCCCCTCCCCCTCCCTCCTCCCGACTCCCCCTCCCCATCCCGACATCTCCCCCCTTTCCTTCCCCCTTGTCTATCCCGACTCCCATCCCGACCTCTCCCCCTTCCCATCCATCGCCTCCGACCTACTCTATCCGTCCATCCCGACCTTTCTCCTCCCGACTCCCATCCTGACCTCTCCCCCTTCCCATCTCGACCTCTCCCCGTTTTCCTTCCTTCGCTTACTTCTCCCTCCATCCCCGACTTCCATCCCAACCTCTCCCGTGACATCTCCCTCCATCGCCTCTCCCTCTCCCCTTTCCTTCTTTCCTGCCCTCCTCCTCTATCCCGACTCGGATCCCAACGTCTCCCTCCTTCTGACTCCCATCCCGACCTCTCCCCCTCCCCATCCCGACTTCTCGCCCCTTTCTTTCCTTCGCTTACGTCTCCCTCTATCGCCTCTCTTTCTTCCGTATCCTGACTCCCATCCCGACCTCTCCCGACTCCCATCCCAACTTCCACTACCTCCATCGCCTCTCTCTCTCCTATCCCAACCTCCTCCTCCCCTCCTCCCCTCCTCCTCTATCCCGATTCCCATCCTAACGTCTCCCCGCTTCCTCCATCACCTCTACTTCTCCCCTATTCCGACTTCCACTCCCTCTATCATCTCTCTTTCTTCCGTATCCTGACTCCCATCCCGGCCTCTCCCGACTCCCATCCCGGCCTCTCCCGACTCCCATTCCTACTCCCATCCCGACTTCCACTCCCTCCATCGCCTCTCTCTCTCTCCTATCCCAACCCCCTCTTCCCCTCCTCTATCCCGATTCCCATCCTAACGTCTCCCCCCTTCCCTCCATCACCTCTACTTCTCCCCTATCCCGACCTCTCCATCCATAGATCCCTCCTCCCTCCTCCTTTCCGACGCCCTTCTCCTTCCCGACTCCCATCCCGACCTCTCCACCTCCCCATGCCGACCTCTCCCCCCTTTCTTTCCTTCGCCTACCTCTCCCTCCATCACCTCTCTCTCTCTATCGTATCCCGACTCACATATCCCGACCTCCCTTCCTTCGCCGACCGTTCTCTTCATCGCCTCTCCCTCTCCCTTATTCCAACCACCATCCCCCGTCCTCTATCCCGGCATGGTCCCAATCCTGACCCCCCCCGCTTTCTTTCCTTCCTTACCAT